TTACGGTGTTCTCTCGCTTCATTAGTGGTGCCGCACAGGAACAGTAAGCAGAGAAATTAAAGGGCTCCTGGTGTACAACCTCAATCCCACATTGTTACTTCTGCACAGTTATATTAGACTACATTTACTCCAAGAATTAATCTGTTGTGAAATCTAAACTAATGTATTATAAGAACTTTAAGCCAAGAGTCCAGTCTGGATTTTTTTTTCCCACCATCACTTCAAAAGATCCTTCGTGAGAAACTTCAATTTCCACTATAAACATTATCGTGTTAAAAATGCAACATCTCAACCTTCCACATAAGCACCCTGCGGTGAGAATGAATCAGTACTCACAGTGGTGGTCGATTAACGCCGTTGCTGGCCTTCATGGGCTGAGTAAGAATAGGCTTTGATTGACTCTGAGCAGCAGATGTATTCTGGACTGCGCCCAAAGGTTTGTTCATAAGTGTTTTTTTCAGCGCATCCTTGGACTGAGCAGGAGGACGCACAGCGGCAGCAGGTGCAGCGATTGTGTTGGCTGAAAGGATTGGAGACACTCCAGTGACATTTGCTACTTGAACAGGTGGGAGAGAGCCGTTCAGAAGAGCTCCTGCACACAAAGATCAGCAATTAAACTGGATAAAAATACACAGTTAAACACACTTCGTCAGTTTAAGCCTAAAATACAAGTGATACTCTCTGTGGATAATACACAGGTGAGCTACAAGAACAAAAGACTTATTTCCACAACTGCGGTGAAGTGAGAAACTCACCTGGTCGATCGTTTAACTTAGACAGCACTTCTAGTGATTTTTTAACCGTCCCATGAATTATTAAAGCATTTGAGCTCTGCTCTCGAGTAAAACCGAACTCCTGAAGGAAAATAGAAACAAGTTAAGAAGCACATTCAATAAAGGCTAAGTCTTCATTTTCCCAACTTTCCCTCACAGCTGAAACCTCGAGCTGCAGGCCGTTTTTCTCATCTCAACTATGAACATGTTAGCACTGTTTCTGGTTGGATTCAAGTACACAATGTAGTTACATGCATGTAGTGTAGCACTACTTTTGACTCCTGACGTGACGGCACCACTAAGCGCAGCTACTACATACCATTAGCTGTGTTATCTGCACACGCATCAGCTCCTGCGCAGCTTCTGCACACGAACTGTCCAGTTTGAGAACTTCCGTGAAGGCCAGGGCAGCTTCCTCATACCTCTGAAACATTACGGACAGCAAGAACTTCAATTCAGAGTAAACCTGGGTTCAGATCATTTTGTTGCTTCACTAATTGGCCTAATTAATCAGAACACTGAGTCAGAAAAAGTCTAATGCTTCTTTCTCAATAGTATCTACTCGACTCGACTGTTTCAGTTGCTCCCTGTTACAGTTGAGGATCACCTCAATGTGTGTGGGGTTGTTATAGCAACACGGCTGATGTCATCTGTATGTGAGGCGATAGTATACGGCTTTTTAACAGACTTTGTGGAGCCATTTCCCTCGTTGACAGGTTTCAGAACTGGCGCTCTCATGACTCATCAAGTGACGTGACTGACTGGCCAATCAGTGGCACGCGGTCTCTTTCCGTCACATTCTCAGATTGACTCAGCTCACTTGGAACCCTGACCGAGTAGGAAATTTTAAAAAGTTCCTGGTTCCAGGTATTACTACGTAGTGGGAAAACCCTGAAAACTGAGTTGAACTGAGCCGAGCTGGTCTTAGAGGAAAATAATGTGAACCTGTGCAACAACTGCAGTGATGCTGCAAACAAGGCGACATTGTCAAAGTCACTGTAACCTGAACTGTAAACATTACAACCGCTGACGGGTCACATCTAGCATGTGCCGCTATACAGCCGACTGCAGCTGCATCAACAAGTTAAGACTAAGCTAACTTCCCTGTGACCAGCACTCAAGTTTATGTCCCTTTTTAATGTTTCTCATTGGTTGGAAAAATGTGTTGCTACTTTGGTTAAAGAGTGCTTTGTAACAAAAAACACACAGCATATTAAACATGACATGTGAGGGTTGTTAAGATTAGATAAAAGCTTTATCTTTACCTTTAGACCAGCCAGAGCTCTTCCCTTCCTATACAGGCCTTTATCCCAACCTGGACATATGCCAAGCGACAACTCTGCATCCATTAACGCCTTCTCGTATTCTTGCAACTTCTCAAAACAGAAGGACCGATTTCCAAATAGCCTGCGACAGAC